ACAAACAAAAGCTAAGAGATTTCATCATCGCCACCTCTGTCCTACAAGAAGCACTAAAGAGATTTCTTCAATCAGAAAGAAAAGAATGTTAATGAACAGTAAGAAATCATCTGAAGGTTACAAAACTCACTGATAATATTAAGTACACAGAATAGTATAACCCTGTAACTGTGGTGTGTTGACAAATCTTAAGTAGAAACACTAAAAGATTAACCAAACAAAAATAACTGTGACAACTTTTCAAGACATATGCAGCACAATAAAAGTTAAAAAGTGGGGGGATAAACTTAAGGTAGAGTCATTGGTTTTCTTTTAGCTTGTTATATTTGTTTATGGAAGCAGTGTTAGGTTGCTAGCAGCTTAAAACAATGGGTTATAAGACAGTATTTGCAAGCCTCATGGTAACCTCAAATGAAAAAACATACAATGGATACAAAAAATAAAAACAAAGAAATTAAAACATACCACCAGAGAAAAGCACTTTCATTAAAAGGCGGGAAGAGAAGAAGGAAGATAACACTACAAAACAACCAGAAAGCAAATAACAAATGACAGGAATAAGTCCTTACTTATCAAAAACAACATTGAACATAATGGACTTAAAGGACTATAACCAAAAAACATACAGAGACTGAATGGATAAAAAGTAAGATCCAATGACCTGTCGCCTACAAGAAAAACACTTTACCTATAAAGATACACACAGAGTAAAAATAAAGTGATTGAAAAAGATATTCCATGTCACTGGAAACCAAAAAAGAGCAAAAATAGCTATACTTAACATTACACAAAATAGATTTCAACACAATAATAAAAAAGACAAAGAAGATCATTACATAATCATAAAGGGGTCAATTAAGCAAAAACATGTAACTATTTTAAATACATATGCACCCAACACTGGAGCACTAAGCAGCTATATAAAGCAAATACTAGAGCTAAAGAGAAAGATCCCCAATATAAAAATAGCTGTAGACTTTAACATTCCACTTTCAGCATTAGACAGATCTTGTACACAGAAAATCAACAAAAAATAAATGGACTTAGAAAGATGGCAGACAGGATACAGGGCTAATGTGCAGCTCCCACTCAGATGGGCAGAATAGCATGTGGAGACTCACACCACAAACTCTGATTCTAAGAAACATGGCAGGAATGCTACCAGAAAAAAACAAAAGAATTCACAGATTATTTGAAAGAAGTGGCACACTGCTGCAAATTCCATGAGACAATCAAAAAACTGTGAATTCTCAAAGTATGAAAAGCGGGGGAAACCTGTCTTCAAACACACATGTCAACTGGGGAATCTGAAAATCCAGATCATGAGAGAAGGATTTAACCTCACCTATAACTAAAATGAACATAGGGAGCTACATGAAATATAAAGGTAGAAGCAGCAGTAGGAAGAGTCTTGTAGGCACTCCCAGTCTCCAGCTCGAGCCCAGGGATACCATCCCTGACTGCATCTGACAGGGAACCTCAGGAAGGCAGCCAGCAGAATTAGGAAGGGGTCACAGGGTGAAAAAAGCTTCCAAATGAATTCTGTAATAATTTCATCTGGACACAAACTATCTTCAGCAGAACCCAGGGGGCAAATGAAAATCCTTCCTAAATCATTCTATGAAGCCAGTATCACTCTAATACCAAAACGACTGAAAGAATGAATGAATGAACGAAAGAAAAAAAACTACAGACCAATATCCCTGAGAAAAAAATTAAAGAAAGAATACTATAGACCAATATCCCTGATGAACACAGATGCAAAAATCCTTAAGAAAATATTAGTTAACAGAATCCAACAGCATAGCAAAAAGATAATATACCTTGATCAAGAGAGTTTCATACCAGGAATGCAGGGACAGTTTAACACCTGCAAGTCAATAAATGTGATATATTACATAAAGGGAATTAAAAACAAAAATCATACAATCATCTCAATGACGCAGAAAAAGCATTTGATAAAATCCAGCATCCCTTTATGATTAAAACCTTTAGCAAAATTGGCATAGAAGGGACATATCTCAAGGTAATAAAAGCTGTCTATGACAAACCAACAGCTAACATTATACGGAATGGAAAAAAGTCGAAAGCTCTCCCCCTGAGAACTGGAACAAGATAAGGATGCCCAGTTTCACTACTTCTATTTAACAAAGCACTGGAAGTCCCAGCCAGAGCAATCAGACAAGAGAAAGAAATGACAAACAGATTAGAAAGGAAGAATTCAAATTATCCTAACTTGCAGATAATATAATCTTATATTTGGAAAACCCTAAAGACTCCACCAAAAAACCTATTAAAACTGATAAATTCAGTAAAATTGCAGGAAACAAATCAACATACAAAACAAATCAACATACAAAATTCAGTACCATGGCTATATTCCAAGAACCAACAGTCTGAAAAACAAATCAAGAAAGTAATGCCATTTACAATAGCTACAAATAAAATACCTAGGAATTAACTTAAAGAAGTGAAAGATCTCTACAACGGAAACTATAAAACACTGATGCAAAAATTGAAGAGGACACAAAAAAAAGGAAAAATATTCCATGTTCATGGGTTGGAAGCAACAGTATCGTTAAAATGTACATACTACCCAAAGCAACCTACAGATTCAATACAATTCCTATCAAAATACTAATGACATTCTACACAGAAATAGAAAAAGCAATCTATATTAGTTTGTTTTCACACTGCTATAAATAAATACTCAAGACTGAGTAAATTTATAAAGAACAGAGGTTTAATTGACTCACAGTTTCACATGGCTGGGGAGGCCTAAGGAAACTTACAATCATGGCAGTAAGGCAAAGAGGAATCAAGAACCTTCTAAATATGGCAGCGGAAGACAGATGTGTGAGGAGTGAAGGGGGAAGAGCTCCTTATCAAACCATTAGATCTCATGAGAACTCATTCACTATTACAATAACAGCATGGGGGAAACTGTCCCCATAATCCAATCACCTCCCATTGGACTCCTCCCTTGACACAATGGGATAATGGGGATTACAATTCAAGGTGAGATTTGGGTGGGGACACAAAGCCAAACAATATCACAATTCTAAAATTTTCATGGGATCTCAAAAGATCCCAGAATAGCCAAAGGTATCCTGAGCAAAAAGAACAAGACTAGAAAGAATCACATTACCTGATTTCAAATTATACTACAGAGTTACAGTAATCAAAATGACATGATTGTGGGATAAAAGTACACATACAGACCACTAGAATACAATAGAAAACCCAGAAATAAATCCATACATCTGTAGCAAACTCATTTTTGACAAAGTTGCCAAGAATATCCAGTGGAGAAAGGACAGTCTCTTCAATAAATGGTGCTGGAAAAGCTGGATATCCATATGCAAAAGAATGAAACTAGATCCCTATCTCTCATCATAGACAAAAACAGAATCAAAATGGATTCAAGGCTTAAACATAAGACCTCTATGATGAAAATACTAAAAGAAAACGTTGGGGAAACCTTCCAGGACATTAGACTGGGAAAAGATTTCTTGAGTAATCCCATAAAAGCAAGGGCTCCTAAGGCAAATATGAAATATGGTCAAGTGGGATCACATTAAGTTAGAAAACTTCTGTACAGCAAAGGAAACAATCAACAAAGTGAAGCAACAACCACAGAACAGATGAAAATATTTGGAAACTACTCAGCTGACTATGAATTAATAATCAGAATATATCAGGAGCTCAAATAGGAAAAAAAAATCTAATAATCTGATCTAAAAATAGGCAAAAGATTTGTACTGACATTTCTCAAAAGACATATAAATGGCAAAGAAGCATATGAAAAGGTATCAACATCTTTGATCATCAGAAAAATGCAAATCAAAACTACAATGAGATATCATTTCACACCAGTTAAAATTATTTTTATCCAAAAGACAGGCAATGACAAATGCTGGAGAGGATGTGGAGAAAAGGGAACCCTCAAATACTATTGGTGAGAATGTAAATTAATACAACCAATATGGAGAACCGTTTGGAGGTCCCTCCCAAAACTAAAAATAGAGCTACCTTAAGACGCAGCAATCCCACTCCTAGGTGTATACCCAAAAGAAAGAAAATCAGTATACTGAAGAGGTATCTGCATTCCCATGTTAATTGCAGCACTATTCACAATAGCCAAGATAGAGAGTATAAGGATGATTACCAAAGGCCGGGGAGGGTAAGTGGGGCACTGGGGGCAGGGAAGTGGGGATGGTTAATGACTACAAAAAAAATGGTTAGAAAAATGAATAAGACCTAGTATGTGCTTGCACAACAAGGTGGCTACTGTCAAAAATAATTTAGTTGTACATTTAAAGATTTAACTAAAAGAGTATAATTCGGTTGTTTGTAACACAAAGGATAAACGCTTGAGGTTATGGATAGCCGTTTTACCCTGATGTGATTATTATGCATTGTATGCCTGTATCAAAATATCTCACGTATCCCATACTTACACCTACTCTGTACCCACAAAAATAAAAAATTAACACCAACAAAAATCACAAAAATGTAAAAAACTTGGCATTATACAGGCCTCAAAAGGACACTTATTTATATTAGGAGACCTGAAACAAGAATGTAGAGCATCACTTTGTTCAACTTCTGCTGGGAACATGCATGTAAAGTGATTCAAATTTTTCACTGCTTTACACATGCCTATGAAGGACTGCTAGTACTGATTTTGAAGTTAAAATGCATTTTTACAGGTAGGCAAATTCACAAATACAGAATTCACAAATAAACTCAAATGAAAAAAAAAATCTCTATCTATAAGGTCAACTATAGCATGTGGATTTTATTCTGGTAATGAAAATTATAATATGCTTTAGTAAAATGTTCCATGTAATTCTCTAGAAACTTATCAATTAACCTTTATGAATACTATCATTCTAAATACCCAGTATCATTCACTTATAACAACAAGAGCTTTTATTACACTGATGTGCAAACTTTATAGATAATAAGGTGGTCTTATTACTATGTATAGTACATACCTGCAGCTTCTAGTAAAGCTTCCAGTCTAGCCTGTGTTTCTGGATCTACTGTCCTGAGGTCTGCACCATCAGCAGTACCTGATAAGAGCAACTTGGAAGCTGTTTCCAGCATTGGATTTTCCAGATCATCCTGATCCAAAATGAAAGACTCCACCTATAAAACAAATGCAAAAAGACGGAAGAAGGGAGAAATGAACAGCGAAAGAAAAAGAGAGGAGAAAAATAAAAAGAAAGCAGGGAGGGAAAAAATATGTTAATATAATTATCAATGGTAAATACAATGCAGTCCTAAAATGTTCAACATGACATAGATAAGCCTGTTGCTTAACTAAAGACAATTATATTTGTGGAAGAATTCAAAACTTTATTATTCATATGAAGTCTAATTTTCTTTACTAATATTCTTTTCTATTTTAATTTGGTTATTAGATATATGTAGGGTTATGAATATAATGCTTACGTAGTGAAAACTAACTAAATCAGCAATTTTTAAATGTTTTGCTTTCAGGACCTAACGAAGTATTAAGTATCAAATATCAATATCAAAAAAATCACATCCATTAATATCACCACTGATTTCATCAAAAAGTCTTTAAGTACTGGAAAGCTGTCAAGCCTAGGCAAGTAAGTTTCAAAATTCTAATTTGTGCTTGAAAGCTTAACTTTATCATTGGCAATAAGTATTGTTGTTTCCCTTAAAGTGACAGACTCACTTAAAAACATTTTTAGGAGTATTTGCCAAATATCCAGGTTTGATAACTGTAGCTTTTCAGTTGTACTTTACAGTAAAAATGACATTTCATGGGGGAAAAAGGCTAACTTGCCTCACATCTAAAAAAACAGCACAGTTATTTTTCTTCCATACAACACCATACTTTTTGTATGCAGCAGAAGTGCTTTTATTACACACGCTAATATTGAAAGAACATGCATTCAAAAGGGGAGTTTTCATAAAATTAATAATTTTATCACTTCATCAAGGACATTCTTAAAGTTAAACTAGCATTTCATTTTATTTTAACTTCAAGCATGTGACGGTGAAGAAAACAATCATATTACTACAGTTTGGTTCCACGGCCTCCGGGTCCATAAGTTTTATTCACCACTGTTTTTGTACCCTCATTGTAAATGTCAACATAGCAAAAAGGTCAAGTAACATTTCAGTATTATGATAAAAACAGTTTTGACCTCATGGACACCTTGAAATGATCTCTGGGACTTTTTGGGGTCTCTTTACTATGTTAAGAAACACTGATTTAAAGTATAGCAGATTCAATTATAAGAAATCTAAAGAATTAGAAAATAAACTCCTAAGACAGGGGTAAAGTTTTATTTTGCTATTCCGTATCACAGTGCTACTTATAATCAGGTACTAAAACATATTCTTTTCTGCTTACTGATAAAAATTGATAATTATGATATGAAATATCGCTATTTAATATGATCAGAGTTAATTTATTTCACAAATCTACGGTACTACTAACACTGCAATAACTAAAATAGATGTAAAATTATCTAACAGACTGGAATACAATCATGCTCATGCCTCGTATACCAAAGGTCAGTAATAAAAAAGACAACTCAAGGAATAAATCCTTAACGATCATAACCTCAGAAACAAATCTGTTCCATCTTGAAAAGGCAACTATCAAGTAACAAGGAATACTGTTCTAATTAATTAAAACATTTAATACTAAATGTTAAATCTGGGAAGAAATAATGTGAGTTTCTCTCCAAAGTTCCATTAAACTAAAGTAGTTTAACATAAAATAACATTTGAGATTTCAAATATTTTACACACAAATAAACATGTACCACCAGGTCTGGATAATTTTAAGTTATCTTTAAAGGTAGTAGCAAAAGTATGAGAAAGCAAGAATCTTAAAGAATGACTAAAGTACTATACTTTAGGAAGTGAACTTTTGGGCATAGCAAGCTGTGATTCAAAATTATAGCAATAAAAATGTTTTCCTATTGTTAAAAAAAAGTCCGGAAGATGAGTCTTTCTAAAGAAAAGGCTGTTTCCTAATGAAATTTTCTAATCTCTGAAATGTGTTAAAATATTTACAATTATTTCAATTTAATAAAAGACAAAAGCAAATAAATTTATGAAAACAAAAAGATAAAATGAACACATGAAATACCATAATACAATGTTTTAAATGAATATTTGAGTAAGTAAAAAACCTCAAAGAGCAGTATATAGTTAACTGATAAAGCAAAGGTAGAGATCAGAGGTGCTAAAGATGTTCAAAGGAGACACTGCATGCATAAAGAATAATATAAAGAATTTTGACCAAAATGACTAATTTGTATAAGAGGAGAGAAAGAAGGAATATGGACTGGCAAGTATAAAATTTCTCTATGACAGAAACACAGGGTTTTTACTCAGGGAAAGACAGGTTAGAAGTTGTAGAATAGAAGGTATCAAATTTCAATCGGAAGTGACTATTTTACACAAAGTCCCCTAAGCCGCAGTGTTATCATAACTAGCCTGGTGAAAATTTACTAAGAAAACTGCATTTCCATCCCTTAATGAGATATACTAAATACAGAAACATTACTTTCTTACTGACTTTAAACTTCTCCACAAAAGTTCTTATGTTATTCTTAGGCCCACTATTCTTACTATATGCAAAACTTGTTAATTTAAAAAACTGTGAATTCAAATGACTATGAAATTCTTATAGAGAGGGAGGGTTATGAAGATGACAGAAAGGAACAGGAATGAATATTTATTATTTCCTCTGCATCCCTCATTTATGATTAATGAAGAAGGAGCTATTTCAAGGACACTACTAAGATCTGAAGGCCTAGGTACCAGAATTGCTTTAGCTTCTACCCGTGTGACCTAACGAAGTGTCTCTCTCTCAGCCATGTATCAATTCTAATTTTTTTTTCACAGATTTATCACACACGAATATTATATAGAGAGTCTTTCTAAGCTCTCTAAAAACAAATACTTTTTTTGGTTTAGTCATGTACACCCAGCAACTAGAGTGTGCGTAACTCACTGTCAGGACTCAAGTGACTACTGAATAAATAAGAATCTGTAAAGAAGGTGAAATTTACCGGATGATTTTGGGATTCTTCCTTTTCAGATTCTAAAAGGCTCTAGTGTATTTGGAGAAGAATGAGGGAGGGGGTAATCACAATAAATACATCTGAAGGTATACTTTATAGATCTCAGAGGAGACACAGAATCTTACATTAGGTAGCAGGTGGTGGAAATGCTATCTTCATTGATTTATTACACACACACTTATTGCAAACATTCTATGTATAAATACTATGGGAGATACAGAAATGTGTGATACCAGCCTTGCTATGTAGGAACTTATTTCTTTAATGAGAGTGCATAAAAATGAACTATAATACAGGGTAGAAAGTGCATAAGGTAATGAGAAAGAACAAGAGATATAAAAGTACAGGGAGGAAAAAGAGAATTTCCTACTTTAATGCCAGTTCCTTTCTTTCCAACTGGAAAGAGCTTGTGTTACAAGACAAGTGAAGAAAGACTGACATAAAGAGATATAATAATGTAAACACACAAAAGTATTCCTTTATTAAATTATGGGCATACATGTCTCTACCATACCAAGTCCTCAGCTGAGACAGTTCAAATTAAAAACTAAAATGAATTTTCTCTCTGAAACCTACCTCATTTTTATTATATTATTCTACAGAAAAAAATAAAAATCATTTTGAATCACAACCAACTTTTGGAACAAAACAAACATTAAAAATGGTCCAAATAAGAAATTCAAATAAGTATTTAAGTCAGGCACAGTGGCTCACGCCTGTAATCCCAACACTTTGGGAGACTGAGGCGGGTGGATCACCTGAGGTTCAGAGTTCAAGACCAGCCTGACCAACATGGTGAAATCCTGTCTTTACTAAAAATACAAAAATTAGTCAGGTATGCTGGTGTGCGCCTGTAATCCCAGCTACTCGGAAGACTGAGGCAAGAAAATCAATTGAACCTGGGAGGCAGAGGTTGCAGTGAGCCGAGACCGAGCCACTGCACTCCAACCTGGGTGACAGAGCGAGACTCCATTTCAAAAAAATAAATAAAATGTAAAAACGAAAAAAAAATTTTAAGTAATTGAAAATAATTTATTTAAATGAAATATATAAATAACTTCCATGAAGAGAGAAGACGAAGAAATGTCCTTACTAAATATATTCTCAAAGGAGCAAAAATCTATCAAAGTTACAACTGGCCTTTTTGAAGAGTTGTATTTAAAGTGGTTTGAATGTGTTGTTTTGACCAGCTGGATATTTTATGAAATGATGTTTATGCATAAAGAACCATCAAAATGCAAGAAGTTTAGAAATCACCAGGTTCAATTCAATGTTACAGATGAAAAAAAACAAAAACGAGGATCTTTATTTAAATAGCAGATTTTTAAATATCTAGCACCGAAAGACCAGTTATCCAATTAACTAATTCAATATACTTTCCACCAGGAAATTCAATGCTGGAATAATAAGGGATTGAACTTTCACAATGCTCTGGGAAAGCTGACTTTAATATCGGCATTTAAGGATCAGGCCATTAACAACCTGAACCCATTGTTTAATTTACTAAAAGTGAACAACCAAACCTAATATGCTCCCAATTTTTGCAACATAAAACACACAGCACCTCCTATAAAGAAACCTTGTCTCCCACCCCACCCCAATAAACAATAATCTGACAGAACTTTTAGAATTGTAAATAACTTCCAGCATATGGAAATTAATAGTAAGGCAAATACAGGAACAAGATAAACCAATGTTCTGTAATGTAAAGGCACTATTAACATTTTGGATCAGATAATTCTTTGTTGTTGGGGGTTGTCTTGTGTAATTCAGGATGTTAAGCAGCAACCCTGGCCTATACTCACTAAATGGCAGTAGCAACACTCCTTCAGGTTGTGACAACCAAAAATGTCTCCAGTCATTGCTAAATGTTCCCTTACAAAAGAAAATAAAAAACAACAACAACAATCATGAAGGAGAAAGAGGTTGAGAATCACTGTTTTGAATATAAGCCAAAAAGACAAATCTAAAATTTGGAACATTTTACAGCAAAACTGACCATTTTCTTCAAGTAAGTCGAATGGGAGCAAAAATTCTTTTTTGAATAGAGTAAGAACCGTTCAAAATTAA